AGATATACAAATGAGTGATGCACAGTGATCCTGCTCATCACTGGATGGCCAAGGCTTAGTCTGTTCCCAACTAACAATCCTGAAGTAGAGATAGGAGTCTGAGTGTCCAAGATGGCCCTGAGAGAGGGGTGACCCAGAGGGAGACAACCTAGAGCAAGAGAGAGTACTTCTGGACAGATCCTCATCTATATACTGGGCATGATGTCCATGATATGGAATAGACTGTTGGGGGCAATTTGGGTCTCAATCCTAAACCTAAGGTCAAATCCTAGGCTAGTGATGGGGGCTGTGCTCCCTCCCAGCTTCTGCACCTGCAGACACTGGCACAGCAGAGAAGCTGAAAAGTCCTTGACTGTCCTGGCAGCAACTATAAACATCAGTATGTTATCAGCCTTCTTTGCAGCACAAATCCAAAACATCGCTTTGTATTAGCTACTATGAAGAAAGTTAACTCTGTCTCAGCTGAAACCAGGGCAATTACTTTTTAATGTACTATCCTGGTACATCAGGCTATTTTTAGTAGGAAACTGTTGGTGTGCAGAAAGTGCTTAGTCATTATAGTGTTGAATTGTTCCTCTATTTTAAACTTTACTTCTTTCTCCAAAGTTCTGTTCTCTGTAATAATAGCACATGAAAACACTAGAAAGTTCTGTCTATAATGTGAAAATATTGATCATAACAAATGTATTTCCCAAAGTTTTAATATTATGTCCATTAGAAAAATGAGTATTCTCTCAAAGCCAAAGCAACTGTATAACAAACTACTAGACTGCTCTTTCTCAACTATTCAATCCATTTTTCTTTCTTTCCTTTCTGCCCCTTCTCCTCAAAAAACACCCCAAAAAAGTAAACAAAGAAGATTTTTTTTTCATTTTGGATTAAGACCAAGCTTGGAAAATAAGATTAAGTTCACTGTTTCTCGAAAATGTTGAGAGTTGTAACAAAAATAAGGAATTTGTTGCAAATCAACATGTCATGTTTGTGAATTGTTCAGTGTTCTTGTTTGCTGACTTTGCACGTTGTGGTCCAGTGTTGCAAAATAATGCAGTGGTTTCTGTCAGAGAATGTGAAGATATGCACAAGTGCATATGCAGAGATAATGTTTTTGTATGTTTTCTTCAGTCATGCCTCTGAATATATATTATTGGTGTTTGTACTACTTAAGTAGAAAGGGTGTAAACTTTGAGAATTGACAAGGAAGAGGAGGCGCCTCTATGTCCATGCAGACAGGGACTAGTAGGTAGAAGAGAAACAGGGAGGTTTACAAAATAGACAGAAAGTACATAAAACTGAAAAAAAACCCAAGCTTGGAAACAGCTGATGTTTTGTTCTGTTTTCCTTTTCCCTCAGCATCTACTTCTGGTTACTGTTAAGACTCCTTCAGGCTCCCATTCAAGTCTTGAATGTCTGACCTGATGTGGGTGGTTTTGTGTAGACCTTGATAGTCTTCCATGCTATTTTTATTGTAAATATTAGAATGTGGTAATGCTTTATTTACATATGGTATTAGTCTTCTAGATTTTGTAATAACTTACAATTTGCCTTCTTAGATGAAGAAAAAAAGATGGTTGAAGAAGTGTTCAGTAATGCAATTGATTGTCTGTCAGATGAAGACAAAAAGCTTCCTCAGGTGAGGGGATATTGAATAGGATAGCTGCTTCTCTCCTGTTTTCTGCAACTTTTGGGGCTTTGGGGCTTTTGTAGTGGGTACAGAAACCATAAACTAGATATTCTCATTCATTTCCCTGGGTTTTAGTATCTCTTGTGTTGCTCCTCTTATGAAGAGATGTATCTGGGTTAAAACTGTAGACAGTTCAAACAAGAGTGCAGTGTGCACTTTACCATGTATTGACTGCTGATCCTCTCCAAAAGTTTAACTGATGCATCTGCATTCTAATTTATTGTATAATGTTTAAGCAGTGGCTGTCTTTACAGGGGAAAAATACAAGTTTCTAAATGGACAGAATATTACAGGTGTCAGTACTTTTGTAACAAGTACTAAAACTATAATTTCTTTTTACCCCCATCTTTATTTATGTCCATAATTTCTTAATGTCGTGGTCTTTATTGTGAGCATGGCAGTTTCTGCTTGAAAAAAACAACCATTTAATTTTTGGCCATGCCTACTTGCTTAGGATTCAGTGTACCTGTTTTGTTCGTGAACTTGAGAAAAATGGAAAATGGGAATCTGATATGTAAGGTGTTATGTGCTGGTTTCTTTTGGTAGGCGTATAACAGTGGAACTATCTCCAGGTAATCTGGTTTGGTCTCTGTAGACAATGATATCTCAAAAGCATATTCTCAGAATTAGTTTTGGGGTGGTAACCAAGTATTAATAGATTGTTAATGAGAATCTTTGTGTTCAAAGAAAAAAGACAGAGAAAAAGCTAAGATTATGTAGGTATTTGTTTGAAGTATAGTGTTTTTAGAATTTAAGAGGTTAATTCAGTCATTTACAGCCTAAATTTCCTTTTATGGCTCTCATAGGTGCTGATAACTGCAACTAAAATTGAAACAAATTATCTAATGCATACCAGGATCACTATTTCAAAAAATTATTTTAAATGGGTCAATTTTTCTTACAGAGGCAAATTTAAATACTAATTGCGTGTGTAAATTAGGGTGTAGCTTCACAGTTGGCCTAGCCCAATTTAAGACTATTCTGTTACTAAAAAGATTGTTCTCTGGCTTTACCCTTCATATAATTCCTAATTCTAACTGGAAAATAGTATTGAAGGGGTGTTTATTGTATTTAAGGTCAGAAGACAGTGAATTACATGAACACTAAGAGCATTCTTGAGATGTTCCACATACGTTTTATTTTTTAGTAATGAATTAAAATTTGATTATTGTTCTCTATATGTTTCTTCCCAGGTTGAGCATGTACTTCCTCTTCTGAAGCGAGGAATTGGTATCCATCATGGCGGTCTGCTTCCTATCTTAAAAGAAACCATAGAAATTCTTTTCTCTGAGGGCCTAATCAAGGTATTATATTTAATGTCCATATTTATGTTTTTCTCTTCTGTAAATACACAGTTCGTAATCCTGAGAAAATGGGAAGTATGTCTTAGCTCAGAATGTATGCTCGTGTTATAGTGAAGATCTGTTCCTTGACTGAAAAAGATGAAGGACTTGTTCCACATGCCAAACTGAAAAATACTTTGGGTCTTGAATGTGCTTCTATGCAGGAAGCATAAGGCTTAATACTTGCTGAAAGCTTGTGTGGATTAGTAAGTAGGCAATTTTTAAAAGAGCTACACACGTATGAAGGGAAGGGCTTTGTTCTGTGTATCTACATCCTGGGTTCTACAAATGCACGCAGCACCTCTAGAAACCTGCAGCTGTTCCAGTGGCAGAGATTACTTGGTGTAACTGGTTGCACCTCCCTTCCCTTGAGAAATGCAAATATTTGCATAAATGCCTCCATCTTTATCTGGAAAAAAAATACTGAAGCTGATTTTTTTTTTTCTCTTTAAGGAAAAGTTTGTAGTCTTTAATAGTTCACCGTAGTTGTCTCATGTTAGTGCGCGATTACAACTCTAGTTTTAAGTGCTCCAGATTTTATTCTAAAGTATTTAAACTTAAAAGGTCTAACTTTAACATTTTCTTCAGCTGGTGTATTATATATTTTGCTCCTGTAAATTACTGTAGACATTTACCAAGCTGTTTGTTGATTGCCCTAAGGGGCATATGTTCAGGAAAATCTAAACTTAGGTGAAAGTTGAGGGGTTTTTTTGGGTAGCTAGCTGCTGTTTTCTTCTTGCAAAATTTGACTGTGGACATTATCCATTATTTTTCATTAATATAATTTACATCCCTTTGTGTTTTCTTTTGGAGCCTTTCACATGGTCACATCTAACTAGTTTTCGTGTTTTCCTAGAGGAAATAAGGGAAGGGGAAAAGAATGGCTTTGGTCCAGTTTGTAAATATTGAATGTGCCTAAGTTCCTATGTTGACTGTACATAAGTACTAAAATCTGGTGAGGTTTTGTGTAGCAGTCTTTGACTATTTGCACATTTGCTTACGCCCTTTGTTTTCGCTTGCTTAACTTTAGTCTGTTTATTTAGGCCTTATTTGCAACAGAGACTTTTGCTATGGGAATTAATATGCCAGCCAGGACTGTGCTATTTACGAGTGCCAACAAATTTGATGGAAAAGATTTCCGTTGGGTGAGTGAAAAACAGGTTCTGTAGAATGACTGAATTGCGTTATTTAAATTATCCTCTATTAGGATTAAGTTTACTTTTGACATATCTACTTCAATGTAGTAGAAATTTTTTTTTTGTTTCAAAAAGCTTTAATTGTTCACTAATCCCTTTATAATTACTGTACAAATTCCTGAAGACAAAATTTGTCAGATTATGCATGAGATTATTTATTTTAACAGATACAGCAAAAGGGCATCAAACACAAGTCAGCAGCAGACATTGGATTAGACTAAAACTTCTGCACAACTTCTCCAAAACTTTGAGACCCAAGTATTTTCTTGTGTGTCAGAAGAATGTGGAGAATAAGTGGGCTCAGTATCATACCGTAATTGTTAAAATAATGTGCGCCGTCCAGGCGTCTAGTTTTATCACCACAGTTCGAACCTTAGGTTTCCTGTGGCAGAGTCTCAGGCATAGAAATTGAAAAAAAAAAAAAAGTTTTTCAAATGTTACAGCCAGCAAACAACTCAAGCTGGGTGTCTCCAGAGGGGGACCCCCAACAAAGAAAACCCTGGGCAGCTATACCCTTGTAGACTGTTCACCTGCCCCTCATGCACTCATCATGTGCCTTTCACATGCCTTTTGGTCCGTTGGTGATTTCTGGTCTGGGATCTTCTAAAACCTTATTGGATCATTTTTCTGTCTCCAGGCTGTTAATTATTCTTACCATGTCAAGTTGCAGCTGCTGCTGACATTTGTACCCTCTTTATCTTCTAGTCCATGTTTCTTTGTCAGAGTGTGGGGAAATGGAAAATCATGAACTTAGGATAAGCATGACTTAGCAATTTATAAGGAAATTTAGTCTGCAGCCTCCCCTTCTCTGTACTAAACCAGGCTTTTGAAATACAAGCATAGTTTTTGTACACCATAGATGAAATATTTAAACAGCTTGACCTGGATGCCTCAAGAGAGAGACCCCAAGAAATCCCTGGGCCATTATACCCTTACAATCTGTGCACCCTCCCCACATGAGCTCTTCTGGTATCTTTGAGACGCCTTTCAGTGCAGTGGTGGTGTTTGGGTTTGGGATCTTATTTCTTATTGAGTCCTTTTCTTGTCTGTTGGCAGGTTCTTCTCTCTCCTGTTTCTGGGGCTATGGTTTAGGATAGTGGTTATTATGTCTCCTTTTTCAGGGTTGAGCTGGGTTTGGAGCTTTCCAAGTTTTCTTACTCCTCCAGTCAGAAAAAAGGTCACCATTATGCAGCTTTAAGTTCTGCTTTATCATGAACTTTTAGGTGGTTATGCAAAGTCCTTGAAGCCTTTTAAGACAAATTGACAGCCTCCATAATTTTATATACATTCCTGTGTTATACTGTCCTCACAGTCTGATTCTCTTACCACCAGGCACTGTTCATGTCCCATTTGGGTCTAGCCTGCATGCTCATGTAGCTCAGCTTTCTTACCTTCCACAGCACAATAATCAATCCAGCAGTGTGTTATCCACCTTATTCTCACAATAAAAAATCGAAACACAGCATGCTGTACCAGCTACTAAAAATAAAATTAATTCTGCCCTAACTGAAAGCATACCTAGGTGAAAAGTTGCAGCCTATGGCTTCAGCAAATCTAGCTACTCATACTAAGTAAGTAATGCTAAAACAAATAGTGTACCAAATCGCACAGCATTATGCTATTACCCCTGCATCCTAATGCTAGATGATGAAAACTACTTAAGCCAAGAACTTCCTTAAACCAGACTATTAGTTTCTCACTTAACCATAATAATAATTAAATTTAGGTTTTGACAGACCCAAGAAGAGAGATAATTTGACTCAGGACAGTATTGATTGTTCTGTTAGAACACAGTATTTTGGGTAGCCCACAGAAAGATAGAAATGTGCAGAGGGAGAGACAGGTTCTTGAACAGCTGGAAAACAAATAATTTAAAAGTTTTAAATGTTAAAACCAGGTACATGATTTACGTGAAAATAATCATAAGGGTGTACAAGTCATCACATCAAAGCTTTATAAAAAGTGTTGTGGTTCATCTTTCAGAAATCGGAAAGTTGAGGTAAACAGGACAGATGACGAGGTATGCATTACAAAGTAAACATCTCTTCAGTCTAATTTTAGGCTATTCATTTTCACAATTTGTTCAGTCTGCTTGCATGTCCTTAAGATACATGCAAGAATTATCTACCTTGGAGGTATCAGATATGTGGAACTCCTTAAAATGAAACTCAGGAAGTTGTTGGGATTTCAAGTTCCACAGATGACAAAAATATTGGTTTATAACTTATCAAAACATAGAGAACCAGTTATGGTTGCCTCTAGTCCATGTCCCAGGTCTTTATAACCTCTTAAATTTCATGGTTAGTAGGCATAGAAATACTGCTCTTGCTAGGTATCAGTATTCAAGTATGTTACATTTCAATAATTTGAATTAAATGATACATTATTTGAAGATGGTGAAGATGCATTATCCGTATGTTGAAGACGTATTATATTTTAATAATTTCCACCACATGCAGCAACTTTCTATTGCAGAAGACACTGGTAAAATATTTTTTGTGCACCATGTTATAGAATCACTGTAGCTATGAGGGCATTGGTTAACTTACACTGCTGACACATTATTCTTAGTCATGGATTTATATCTCAGTAGTTTAGTGATCAATTATGAGTAATGAATTCAGTCTGGGAAAAGTTCATGCCTTAGATAACTCTGCTAATTTTTATGCATCATGGTCATTTACCATGTAATCATAAATAGCACTTTTTATGTTCTTGCTATTTTTCTAATGTTGGTTAATTTTTTTCTTTTTCTTGTTTTATCCTAGATATCCTCAGGTGAATACATTCAAATGTCGGGCCGTGCAGGACGCCGAGGTATGGATGACAGAGGAATAGTAATTCTTATGGTGGATGAAAAAATGAGTCCAACAATTGGCAAGCAGCTTTTGAAGGTAGGAGAGAAGTTAACAACTAGGGTTGTTCTAATTTGAATAATATAATGTGTAAAATTATACACCTAGAACAAAAAACTATGTAGGTCATGCAGGCAGGAGATCACAACTCCTAAAAGGAGTGTGGGCTTTCACTGAATTCTCATTAAAGTGGGAGTTTCTGTTGTGAAACAAAATTAGAAGACTAGTATCATCCTTCTCTGTATAAAAGGGATCGCAGGCAGGAGAGGAAAAATTGTATTGTTTTCTAGTGATATCACTTTGGCAATATTCTGTTCATTTCTTGCTGACCACAGACAGTTCTATTATATCGCTGAAGTAGAAAATGTTTCCTGAGCTTTCAGAAGAATTATTAAAGGCTTGGTTCTGTGGTGAAATAAACTTTGTTGGTGGACTTTTCAGTGTAATAGAGAACCTGGAAAAAGTCATGCAAAAAATGAGGTACATATGATAAATAAGAAGAGTGAGATGGCTGTCAGTTATCTGAAATTAGCTATGGAGAATTTGAAAGTGGTTGTAAAAAAAATCAAATGCCAATATTTGTCCATTCTGTTCAGAGAAGTTAAGAACAAGGGGAAAAATACATAGATGACTTCTGTCAGTTATGCAGATGTGGATTCTTTGTTGTGTATCCTGTTCTGTAAATGTGTATATTAGATTACTGTTATGCACAGACAGTGTTTACCTTCTTAAAGTCAGAATTTTCATCAATGCTACATTGTGGCTAACTTAACCAGAAATTAGTAAAATCATAAATTTCAAAAATATTGGAATTCATTCACATATGGTAGCATTAGGTTTTGAATTTACTTCTTCGTCTTGATTCTGTTTGTGTTTTCTCAGTGAAGTGGACATATATTTATTTGTTTACATGCACACAATGCGTGTGTACATCTCTGAGATGTATGGAGACTAAGTATATTAACCGGGTTTTTATGAGTTTTTAAGACTTTTTAAAAATAGACATAGTTTTGTGGCATACTTATTTAAACAAGGGCTTTATACCTTTGTACTACACAGCTGAAAAGTTAAACAGCAGGAGGTACAAAATGGGAGAAGAAAAAAAAACACTCCTTATAAATAGCATTGATTTTGTGTACTTGCATCCCCCCAAAATGAATTCATGTAAAATAATTAGAAATAGCTTTAAGAAAAATGTATATTTCTATTTACCATCAGCATTTATTAAATTGCTCTATAGGCTCAACCATTCAGAAGGTGATTTTTTATAAAGTTTGTAAGTTCGGTAGGTTTGAGAACTATAGAACTCAATCTGCAGTAATTAAGATGAAAAAAAGGAAATAGTAGATCACTTTTTTGATACTATTTTTTTCTATATTTTAAGGAAATTATAAAGAATGTTTCCTTTTATTAAAATTGTAAGCCCTTTGATTTTTTTTTTCCTTTTGAATAAGGAAACAAAAAGGAAAAAATATGGCAATTTTTTGGCTTTCTGGTTCTTTTCTTGGTTCTGTTCTACTGATCTAAATAAATTAATGTATTTCATTAATTTTTCATACTACTTAGCTTGTGAGCAAGGACTGAATTTTTGAAAAACTTTTTAAAAATGATCGTAAGGGGCTATAATAAAGGTATTGATGCTTCTGTAAGTGTTCAGGCAATTGCTGAGAAGGCAGTAGAGGTAATTTTTCTGAGATGAGCAGTACAACATAAAAAATATTTCTCATTTTCCTTTTTAAATACAAAGCACTTAGAGGAAATCTCGTGTCAAAACAGGCAAAAAATGTATGCAGACTAACATGTCTTCAATATTCACATTTTGTCTTCATTGTGAAGTATGACTGAATTAGGTACCACTTACTGACAGACAGTGTTTGTCCATGATCATGTATTACAGTAGTGTTTTGCTGCCACATCAAGTGTTGTGGTTTTGCTACAGGATAAGATAAAGATTTATGGGGAAAGCTTCATAAGTTAGCCATACTGAGAATGATAGGACATTTACATAGGACATTTTTATCATAGCTCTTCAGCCCTAGTGCATGTCTGATCCAAACCATTTCCTGAATACTAGAGCAAAACATCTAGGAGTAACTGTGATCAGTGAAGTGAGAACTTTGAGTATATTTCAGTGCCAGCAGTATTGCTGCAGCTGTGCTGTTTGGCTGTGCCTTTGTTCATCACAACATTGTGTACAGTACTTCAAACTAAAATTCAAAGTTCAAATCTTAGATGGGAGTTCTTACAAGGAATATTTGTAAATGTTTCTTAAACTCAGTAACATACATTTGTCTTCTGCAGTGTAACTAGTCTTTTTTGTTTATCCTTAGCATTTGTTTTGAATATTTAGTAAACTGGTGACTTGCAGAAATCTGTAAAACTAAATGCTTACAGTACTGTTGGACAGCTTTTTAAACACAGTAACTTACGGTTTCATGTTTACATAATACTAAGAAATATATGATGGTAATTTTTTTTGTTGTTTCCTTAATTAAAATTTTTAGCTACGTTGTTTTGGTTTAGATAGGAAGTGGAAAGCTTCTCAACGCTAGATGGCCTTTGAAAGTAGAGTAGCATCTTTCTAGTTGGAATTTTGCATTGTTACATCCATGTGTTCCTACAGAGACAACTGAGTTACTGAACAGTGGTAGTTTGTTATGTCTCTACAATTGTAAGCTAATTATGTTATGGAAATGCATGATTGTATACTGAAAGAAAATGTGCTAACATGAGTAGGTTTTTGAACCTTGAATTTTAGTTTATCAGTTCTTTGCATCTACTTACTCCTTCACAGGAGAAGTAAATGGACTGAAAAATCGAAAGAAAACTTCATCTAGACAGATAAAATATACAGTGTTATGCTTTCCTTGTCGTTTGCGCATGGAACATAAAATGCCCCGATGCCAAGCTCTAGGAGATATTCCACTAGCTACATCTGGCTCCTTGGCAGGGCCTTCATTTTATAGACTTGGCAGTACAGTGCTTATTTGGCCTGCATGCTGCTACGGGAAATCCTTCTGGTCTTTTTGTTTGGTTTTTTTTGACACTTAGGTTATTTTACTGTACTAGGCAAATGAACGGGATAGCAATTTAGACAACTTAATAGTTTTCTCTTTAGCTTCCTGCCTGTTTTCACAGCTCTCTGCACAGCTCTCTCATATGACCACTGTGCAGTTGTTGGAAAGTTTCTTAATTTCGAAAGGGCAAATCATTGAGGCAGCATCATTAGATATTTTGTGTTTTAATAATTTGCAAAGTATCACATATGGCTGTTTCTTTCAGACTCCCAAGTACAAAGAAAATTCTATTTAGTGTGAAAAGCAGTATTTACATAAAAATAAATAAGTTCATGCTGTTCAGGAATAAGTGTGAGATTTGAAATGGTGAGGAGGTGATGAGAAGCTTCAATGGCTAGAAGAGGAAGTTTCTGGAACTAAAATTGCTGGAAGTTAGTACTTTTGCATAAGCATAGCTACCTGTCTGTTAAAAATGAATTAATAATAAGTCTTGGGCACCAGTGTAATTTTTTTGTGTATTTCTAGCATAGAAAGTCTAACAAGCAACTGGAACTCTTGCCCGGGTCATGAGAAACACCATAGTTATGTAGTACTGTAAAAAACAGTGCTAAATGAGAATTCAGGAAAAACAATGGTTAATGTGTAGGAAAGAAGTATGGTTTTATGCAGAAGTGTTGCTTGACTGTTGTTTGACTGTGAGGTTCCTTGTTCCTTCTTTTGACCTGTCTGGTATTGACTGATAGGACGTGGGTCTGCTGCTGTGTTGGTCTTTCTGTGTTTTAAAATAAATACGGGTGTGTATGCTGTTGAATTAGGTTGGAAATAGTAAAACTTTAAAAATTGCCTAATATAAAAGTATAGATTTTGTTGTTTGAGTGGTTGGGTTTTTGAGTGCTTTTCTGTTGTTATTCTTGACTAAATTTAGGAGAGTTCAAAACTATTGTTAGTCTTTGTTACTCGTTACCCATATACATTAACATCATAGTCTTGAAATTATTAGTGTGTTTTTGTTCAAATTATCTCCTTTGACTAATATAAAGAAAACTCTTCCAGTGAATAGGAATTTTTTTTTCAGGTGGTAAGATTTATTATGTTCTCTTTTTGGTCTTACAAACATCTGCTATATGGTCAGGCAAGAAGCGTGGGAGTAGAGCATCAACAGAGCTCCTTTTTTCAAACGAAATGCTTAGCACTGTCTGAAGTAAAGAAGCTCAGATTGTTAGCTATGCATGCCTGCCACAGACGTCAAGATCAGGGAGCTGCTCACAATCTCTCTGAGGAAGCTCAAGGTACAACCAGATACAGGCTGGAGCATGGCAGTTGTTCAGCACGTTGTTTGGCAAAATTGCAGCATGAGTTTTTTTGGCAAGATGATCTCCTTATACAGTGTCTCTGAATAATGTTTTCTTGTGCAAAATGTGGTGGCCTGTATTGAAATTGGTATGGAATGATATGGCTTACTACTTCACTTTTAAAACTCTGCAGAATCTTTAGTACTGCTGATTGTCTACCCCTTTTAAAACTGTCCTGTGTGCAGATTTTCCATTTAATTTTCTCTAAATGCTTTAAAGATGTTTCCGTAATTTGTGAGTGAGTATTAAGTAACAGCTTTCCATTTAGTCTTGTTGTTTGGGACTATGCACAAGACAGCAGGTGAAGCCTGCCCATGTGCAGGACCTTGCATGGGGATGGTGAAGGTTGAACTTCATGAGGTTTGCAGGGGCCCATCTCTTACGCCTGTCAAGGTCCCTCTGGATGGCATCCCTTCCATCCAGCATGTCAACCACCCCACACAGCTTGGTGTTGTCAGTAAACTTGCTGAGGGTGCACTCAATCTCCCTGTCCGTGGCTCCAACAAAGATGTTAAGAGAGACATAAGAACAGCCTGGATATACTGACTAAAGTTCTCAGAAATTAATGACCCACTTTGTGTGCTTGCAACCACTTCTTGCAAAATTTTGAGCCAACTTACCAGTAGCACCCTTTCCAGTTTTCCAAGATTTAGGTTGCAACAGAATGGTT